AGTGCAACTATCCAAGATGATGGGCTGACAGAGTGCAATTAATGTAATGAGTGGTGAATGAAGATGAAATTAAAATCTGGGTCTCAGCAGTAGTTGAACAAGCAGTCTCTGAATTACCAAGCCCGTGTTTTACCAGCTGAACTACGAGTCACGTGTGGTAACCAAGTTGTCACTTAAAAAGCACCACCGCTGGTAGCTATCAGCTGTTGTGTGAGTGAATGGTACGTTACTATCGTTTCATCAACACACCAAGCGCCCAGTCAGCGTTCTGAAAAGTAAAACTGCCCCACGATATAGATGATTACAGGTTGAGTGGAAATGAAAAAAGTAAATACTAGTTGCATTTTTCTACTTTCGGATCATTAACGCTAACGCAGCATTCAGGGTTACACATCACATTCCGAAGTCATTATGACTCACAGTTCACCTATGTCTTCTACATATAACTGAAGTTGCTGCAATAAGATCGACTAAAGCAGAATTTTGTATTCAAAAAGAACAAGTTCAGGCTCTACTCCTTGCGTAACCAAACTTGGATTAAGGTATCTTTCCTGTGAGAATCCCTTTTTCTCCTATCTCTTATTCCTTTGTTTTATTTTTGTTAACTTTCCTCTTTTTGTCTCAACAATTTCAGCCATATTATTTTATGATTTATACACTTTATTCTAACATTCTTCCAGTACTATCGAATTTTCCATTTATACACTTCTGGCTTAATATTCACAATATTATCTCTTTTCTCCGTATATAACACCACCTGTTTCATTTCACGCATTGATTATTTCATGATGAACTATTCACTGCAGTCTTACTATCTCTTCTTACTATTTTGTACTAGCCACTTACCTAACACATTTTACAGCCTTGAAGTGATTTGTCAGTTTTTTCTCACTACATTGTGAGCATCTATTATGACTAATCACCAGCATCGTTTAGCATTTCATAATATTTTGTAATTGCATTCACAGTTCAATAAATTTGTCACACAAATACTAGTTATTTTATTACTCTACTACTAATCTGTTAAAATGTATTCACATCATAACTGGCTATTATTGCATGGATAAATATTATATTTTATAGCTGTAAGAACCTGAAGAGTATTTATTGAAAAGATTATTCTCCGACCGACTGTGAATATATATATATATATATATATATAGAGAGAGAGAGAGAATGGGTTACATTCATAAGACTTTCTCACAGATATGATTCTAGTCCCCACTGGCTGCACTTCAGAGATTTAACTATTGAGCTAACCACACTGGAATGAACTATTAAAGAAGTCAGACACATTTGTTGTTTTCTTTGCATTGAAAATTTCTGAACACCAGGAGTTTCATGATACCTGATATTTTCAGATAATGAAATAAAAAGAATTAAAACTTAAGACGATGACAGTTAATTTAAATGATAGATAAATAGATAAGTTAAAAGTTACTATGCACTTAAAGAAATAAAACTGACACGGAAGTGAAGTAAATTAGTCCTCAAAAGACTGTAAACTCTTGAGAATAATTGATGGCAACTTTTATTTCATGCTGCATTCATTCATTCATCAATAGATGATACATTTTATCCTCCAACAATATATGGCTATTTATCTACCTGGCTTTCTTGACTATTATTCAACTCAGAGTTTAGAATGGAATTCGTGGTTTGCCTAGTCAGCTATCTAGGATTTGAGTGGTTTCCACTGACTCAACTGTCTGAGCTGCGTCCATAACTGAGACGCCGCTGGCAAGCTCGGACCATAACCAGGGAAATGTCTCCTCAATGTCTAGATCATTCTGATCTGGTTGATTTGAGCAGTTTCTAACTACTCATATTAATTAGTAATATGGACTGTCATGGTATTAGACCTAAGAAATGTTAAAGTCTCACACATTATGTACCAATGTTCGACTAATAAGTAAGCATTGCTCTAACATATCATACAAGACATTGCATATTTATAACCGGAAATATACTAACTGGACTGAGTGAAAGACATTTTTAGAGAGCAAGTTAAGTTTCCCTGGCCGACGCACTCCTTTAGCTTGCTGAGCCAGCAATAAGACTGTTAAAGAGGGAAGGTTGGGCATGAGGCTAGCAATCTCATCCCATAAAAACAAAAACCACTGATATGGAAACTTCAAGACTCTATCTTGAAGCCATATGTTCCACCGGGAGCGTAAAGGATTAAAAAAAAGTTAAGTTTCATTTTTGGCTGCGAATACTTATTTTATACAATGCAACTATACAGTTTTTATGACATTTCATAAAAAAAATATTGTCACTTGAGATAGTGAATTGAAACAAGCAACAAATATTACCTTTCGATAAAGAAAGGAAGACGAAATTTGCAGTATAAAATGATATCATTCTATTTCACAGGTTCTCATCAGCTGCAGACTACCTGAAATTACAATGGTTATATAAATGATAATAACATACTTTAATGTTTGATTAGTAGTAGAGAAGAGATAAAATTGACGCATCCAAAAAAGAACGAAAGCATTACAATTTTAGTTTAAGTTATCATCATCAATTTATACACTTTCAGAGTTGAAAAGAGGGGGGAGGGGTAAGACAGAAAACAGAAAAATTGATTAACAGAAACAGTGTTAGCTTGTAGGTTCACATGGCAACTCCAAAACACAAAAGCATTTACAGTTTATAAGATTGAGATTTGCTCAGTGAGTTGAGATCACTGATGACTAATCAAAATCAAAATTCAGTTATCAAGGGAGTGAGAGGTTAATCACACTCTCTTTCTGTGTGCATAAGTCTGGTTTAAATCGTTTGATTGCGATCGCTTCGGCAAATCGTAGTAAATTTGCTGTCCTTTGTCTATTTAATATTTTGAAGGACTTAGAGATCTCTACGAGATGTCCGGTATCAACAATATGTCTGGTAATTGCACTCTGAGAGTATTTGCTTCCTTTCAGGCATAGGTTTCTTGGAATATGTTCAGAAAACCGGATAGAAGCCCTTCTTTCTGTCCTTCCAATGTACTTGCTCCCGCAAGTGCACGTAAATTCATAAACGCAGTTGGAGGTGACATCAGCAGGGTATTTATCCAGTTTTGAGTTGATCATGGAAGGAGTGGTGTTGTATACTGTTATGAGTTTTGCTGCCGGGAAGCTTCTATTTATTGCTCCTTTCAGTCTTCTGTCAATCTTTTGTGAAACTGCATCTCCTTTGAATGGGAGACAAATAAACACTTTTTTCTTTTCTACAGTTGGATGCTTTTCTTTCTTATCTTTTTCTCTGCTGTACTTCTGTATAAAGCCTTTAGGATATCCGTTTTCCCTCAGGCATTTCTCGATGAAATCTAGTTCTTCTTCGACCTTGTTTGGTGAACATAGCTTCCTGGCTCTGTCGTACAAAGTCCTCAAGCTATGTTCACCAAACAAGGTCGAAGAAGAACTAGATTTCATCGAGAAATGCCTGAGGGAAAACGGATATCCTAAAGGCTTTATACAGAAGTACAGCAGAGAAAAAGATAAGAAAGAAAAGCATCCAACTGTAGAAAAGAAAAAAGTGTTTATTTGTCTCCCATTCAAAGGAGATGCAGTTTCACAAAAGATTGACAGAAGACTGAAAGGAGCAATAAATAGAAGCTTCCCGGCAGCAAAACTCATAACAGTATACAACACCACTCCTTCCATGATCAACTCAAAACTGGATAAATACCCTGCTGATGTCACCTCCAACTGCGTTTATGAATTTACGTGCACTTGCGGGAGCAAGTACATTGGAAGGACAGAAAGAAGGGCTTCTATCCGGTTTTCTGAACATATTCCAAGAAACCTATGCCTGAAAGGAAGCAAATACTCTCAGAGTGCAATTACCAGACATATTGTTGATACCGGACATCTCGTAGAGATCTCTAAGTCCTTCAAAATATTAAATAGACAAAGGACAGCAAATTTACTACGATTTGCCGAAGCGATCGCAATCAAACGATTTAAACCAGACTTATGCACACAGAAAGAGAGTGTGATTAACCTCTCACTCCCTTGATAACTGAATTTTGATTTTGATTAGTCATCAGTGATCTCAACTCACTGAGCAAATCTCAATCTTATAAACTGTAAATGCTTTTGTGTTTTGGAGTTGCCATGTGAACCTACAAGCTAACACTGTTTCTGTTAATCAATTTTTCTGTTTTCTGTCTTACCCCTCCCCCCTCTTTTCAACTCTGAAAGTGTATAAATTGATGATGATAACTTAAACTAAAATTGTAATGCTTTCGTTCTTTTTTGGATGCGTCAATTTTATCTCTTCTCTACTACTAATCAAACATTAAAGTATGTTATTATCATTTATATAACCATTGTAATTTCAGGTAGTCTGCAGCTGATGAGAACCTGTGAAATAGAATGATATCATTTTATACTGCAAATTTCGTCTTCCTTTCTTTATCGAAATTTATCAAGGGAACCAGTTGTATGAAATATTACCTTTTTGAGATTTACCAATGTAGTCAAATTAGAAGTACAAACTCCTTTTTCAACTTACTTGATTCATACTATTTCACCTTAATATGACTGCTGAACAAACACAACTTCATTCTGAAATATGAGTCAGTATCAAAATGTAATGCAAAAGTTTTATCCAGGTTCCCATTCTATTGTAAATACCCAACCCCCTACTGTTGCAAATAACTGAATTTAATAAACAATAAGTAATTGAGGAGGCAATTTAAGTATCGTAAAACAAAAATGGACAACTTATAATTAAGTGATGATAATTTCTGGATAATGAAACCTAGAAAAATAGTTATAAATTCAAAAAGCCTTGAAGACTGATTACAAACTAATCCTACAAAATAACAGATAAAGATAGATAAATGAGACATAGTTAACTGAAGTGCGTGTCTAGGTTTTATGTAACATATCTCACATTTCCCCCTTGACAGTGCTATATTGCTTTACATAGTAAATTCTTTATTCTAAGACTTCATAAATTTTTAAATTAGATATCTGTTATCTTTTCTTCTGTATTTTTGGCAGTCATCAGGAAATTATAACCAGACGACGCACAGTGGAGTATCTACAGTCACTGCGGTTGCAGTCGCAGCTGTGGCGGCAGCAGCGGCTGCTGCAGGTGGAGTTCCTACTGTGACAAATTCAATGGAAAGTATTTCATCTGACTCGTGTCCTGATTCACAAGTTAATTCACACTCGAATACTTCTCAGTTTTATATGAATCAGTCTCATTTTTACAATATGAATTCTCAAAGTGGAAATAGTGAATCAGTATCAACAAGTATGTTAGCATCGGCTGTCACCGATACTATTAACAGCACAACTAATAATACACCTGTAAATAGTACAGTAAACGAAGATGATATTGACAGTACTGAAATTGCAAATACTGAAGACTGTGATAAGCCTGTACATTTGCATACAAGTGCAGCTGATAATTTTCCGCAATCACTATATGGTAATTCTTATTATAATCAATATTTTTCACAGTATATACGCGATAATATTCCGTTGAATACTGTGCTACCAAATATGAATGATCCCTCAAACTATGCAGAATCACTTCATAATATTAGCAGCAACACTAGCAACAACTGTATTCAAACAAATCGAGACTATGAATACCCTAGTTCTTATGGATTTTATTCAAATTTTTTTCTAAATTCAAATAATATTAATGCAAATGATCCTGCTGGTGGTTGTTCACTGCCGTTGACAAAAATGAATTCATCTAGTTCATCACCATACCATTATCACCATCACCAACAAAGTCAACATCACTCCTCCTCTAACCAGTCACATCAACTTCAGCATCACCAACAGCGTCACAGTTACCATGCATCATTGAATGAACAATTATCTGACATAATGCGTAAAGACAGTTGTAATTACACAAATTCTGTACATTCATCTCAGTCAATACCTACATGTTCCTCGGTAACAATGAATTCTATAACACGATCTCCAGATTTTAATGATCCGTATATAGGTGCAGGAGATATGTTGCATTCTCACTCAAAAGATTCAAGTCATATAAATCGTCTACATCATGAGTCAAATCAACAAAAACACCATAATCCACATACAATGCAACATATACACTCACATTACCCATTGAATTCACAAACCTCTACACTTTCCATAACATCGTCGTCATCCCCCTCATCATCTTCTTCATCATCATTACAACATCATTATAATATTCATCATTCACAAAATCCGCATACAAACAACTTACATCCTTCGTTAATGCATAACTCACAACATTTAGGACATCGTGCACCGTGTCTACCGTCTAGACCAACGTCAAGAATTAGACATACTAAAAGCTCATCAATAAATGGTTCAGTTCGTAGTGACGGTTCAATTAATGACGATTCACAAACAGAGAGAATTGGTTTTAAATCAAATGAATTGGGAGCAGAAGAAACTGGTGAGTTGCTTAATGAAATTAATTTGAATCGTTACACCTATAAAAAAATGAGTTAAGGAATCGAATTCCTTACATGTTAGTTACACTAAAACAGCGGTCGTGATGTCATCCAAGTAATTTTTAAATAATCATCTTGTAGGCTTTTCGTTGAGAAAATAAAGAAATTGATTATTTAGTTACTAAAAGAATGTCAACGCCCGAATAAGGACTTCATAAAAGTTCGAAGTTTTAAAATAGTATCTAGCTTTGACCTCTTTATATCTCATGGTGAACCTTTAAGTAAACACTTACTTGTTGGATTTGTAAGGATAGAATTCATCTTAAAGTTAGTTCAACCATAAATTAAAATGATCTAGAATCACTTAACAGTAGTTTCGGCGCATTATTATAAACAATATTTTCGTATTTCCCAATGGATATCATATACCCAGTGCCCAATTATTTCAAAGTGGTTTCGTCTTAGTCCATTGCTTTTCAGAAATGATATTACACAATTCTGTACAATGTAAAGCCTATTATTACCAAATCTGATGGTATGCAAATTACCCTTCAGCCTTTTGACCATGGTTCAGCAGCCCATATCTTCTATCTTTTCTCCAATTTCCAGTACAAAGATTGGAAATACGGGATACTACTCACCTCGTAACTTGACATTGCTGATGTTGATTTCTTTTGAAAGTAATGAAAATTATAGAGCCAAGATGAACCAGAAGTGCAGTACTTCTCAGTTTCGATCTATTCTTTAGGAAGCTCTTCTTTGAAACAAACATTCTGTAGGTAATCCAACTCAAAGTCATAATGGTTGACTGAATAGAAAGATGTGAAAAAGTTTCATAAACTTTCAATTTCCCAATCTGTAAGCATAAATTACTTCAAATCTTAGTTAAAATGAAATTGTCGAAATAAAAAAGTATACTTTTGCAAGAAAGGTACAACAAATCTGTAAAATTAGTATTAGATTTATATGAAGTAAATTGAAGTACATTCTGTTTTACTTTTTTTATTTTCTTCTTTTCCAAGTGTGTATACATCCGTACTGTTAAAAGTCAACCTTTACTAATTTTCAGCTTGTTTTTTATTTGAGATTTTGCCAGTTCCACTTTGTTTTTCTCGACTGCATGTCACATATATAAACAAAACAAAAATTCTATTTAACTGAAATTCTCTAAAAATGAATCAGCCTAAAAAAATAGCACTTGCCCATATATGTAGTAGGAGAAAGGGAATTAGATTATCGTGGAACTTTCATACAGTAGCCTTTCGTGCTCTTCTTATGACAAGAGTAAAATAAGCAAGAGAAGAAAAACAACGGGAGAAACGCGAAATAAACTGACAAGCGATTTGTTTTTTTGTTTTTTTTTCAACGAATATTTCCTCGTAAAAATTCACTTTTTCCTATACTGTTTTGTACTACACTTTCACTTAAACACAAAATTGGTACTGATGGTACATTCACTGACTTACAAAAATGTTTATCAGCTGACAATGACTAGAAAAGGGAGAGAGAGAGACAATTACCATTTTACTCCCTTCCCTTCCATCTCTCCCTATCTCTCTCTCTCGCTTACTCTCTGGATTTGTCATCCAGTAAGAGAAAAATAATGGGAATACCCACGGTGAATTGAAAAGTTCTAAAAATACTGAGTTATTATTTTTGATAGCACATTCATTGCTACGATTATAATTTTACATATTATATTTTTTTTAAACATTGAAAATGATTTCAAAAAAGTAGGAAATCATTATAGTTTGTTGCTTGGTCTTTTTGTTTATATTGTATACTTGTTGGCCTTCACTTTTAAAATATTTGTTTTCGAATAAATTAAAAAGTTATCTACAGTTTGTAGTAATAATAATTTTACACTTGAACAATTTAAGTTAAATAAATTTATAATTCATCTAGTTATATATTCAGCAGTAAGCATACAATAATGTTGTCTTTATTTTCTCAATGAATACAACGTTTTTCATCTGTTTAGGATTTTATTGCTGACTGAAATTTCTGGACTAGTTGTAATGATGCAGCTTCTTGTCTGAGTGAAACAATCATCTTGCATACTAGGTTCAGTTTTCGTTCCCAAGCATTAACGTAGGTTCTTGTCATCTTAACATTTATTAACACAACTGTCATGTGAAATCGCACGGAGATCCATCTTCATTCTGAAATTAAAACTTGAAATGTTTACTAATAAAGTAAGAGGTTTGACTGGTAAGTTGTTGGGACCACAAACCACCCTCTACAGAGCTACATTAACTAATGTATCTGTCTGTATGCAATTTATAAACAAAGTATTTTTATGACACACCGTTTCTGATAATTATATCATACTGAGGTGATCATCAGGCGATACTTTATAATTTGTCTTGTCAGAATTCATTTAAATTCAATAATCAAAAGGTGTAACGTAGGAAAGCAGATAGATTGACAGGTTCTGCACTTCATTGTTCTGTGATAAATATATGGAGGAAAATATTGGAAAGACCTGAATACTATTTTTCCGCTTACCACAATTCATCAACAAAAACTGTTGGATGCGGAGACAAATATTCGCCAATGACATTAGTTAGTGACGGAAGTTGGAATTCATAAGCCGTTGGATTGGGTCCCAGTGGATTAATGGCCTGCGAGATCCCCTTGTTACCGGAAGGTCATGGGTTCCAACCCTGGCAGTGCGCTCGGGCTGTGAAGAGTTCCAAATCAGGACAAAACAGCCGTCCAGTACTCCGAACTGGTTTTCCGATGATCTTCTAACCAATGTTCGTTCATGATGAAATCCTGTAACCAATCAAATTTCTATAAACCAACACTTGAAAACCTGTTTCCACTCAAAAAGAAGGTGAAAATTCAAGGCTTTTGAACCTGACCTATTTCATATCGTAGAAACTGATGCTTCCCTTTACCAACTTAGTTCATCATTAATATGCATTCATAACTAGATACATTTTATTTTGATCGTTACCACGTTTTTGTTTTCATTGAAGATTTAACTAATGCCATTTAGAAAAATAATACACTACTAAGTTAAGTGAAAGAAACTAAGTGAATGTTGTCGATGAATAGTATCAATTACATATTTCAAAAATCATAATAACTGTATGGGACAATTCTACCTGAATGCCTATGGATATTATCCCAAACTTTATATGTCAGAGTAGTGCTTGACAATAGTCTAAAGTAACCTAAACACACAGCTTATACGACCAATCGAAAATTACTTTAAAAAAATCCATTAACAGTCAAGTTATGTCATTGATCACTGATTAGTGTAACTGATTTTCAATCACCTATTTCAACCAACTGCGTTTATCATAGAATGATTAGTTGTTACTTTCAGTTTCTCCAGTTTCACTTTTGATGTGTTAAATAATCTTTAAAATGCCTTTGAATGTATAGGTGCCACGTGAACACCTATTGTTGAACGGCTCAACACGTTTAATATAAGTGAATGTTTTTAGATACTTTGCTCGCGATAACACATATTCTGTAGATTACTGAAGGGCATCATTTTTTATCTTTCAGTATATGTATTATAAAAACTTGGACTTTTCTCAAAGAATATTGCGTTTAGAACTGCACGATGAATCGCAGAGATCGTTCTTAACATCAAGAACTTAAAGTCAAAATGGTATGGATGTAGCGTAGTAGTTGATATGAAGAGAGTATAATATGAAGGATGTAGAAATTCAGTAAAGAAACCTAGCTATCCATTTAGGTTGAATCACTTTAGGGAGCTAAAGCATTGCGCTACTAAGGCATAGGTTTAGGTAAAACAGCCGTTTCCCAACGATCTCTCACTTACCATAAAGTAATGAAGGGATGCATGGTCATGGAATTTTACTATTCATTCAAAAGCACTCCATTTAAATGATATAAGGCCAGAAAAGCAGTCATATATATGTATATATATAATGATGACTACATGTTTTGTACTCCAACGTCATTTCAGTGGAACCAACTTCCCAAATACACTTCTTGTGAGTAGTCATCATTTAGTCACATTATCAACCGCTATCAGCCTAGTTCAATCTTATCGACTAAACAGCTTGCCTTATTTTCATCACCATATAATCGAAATATTTCTGTCATGTCAACAGTGCTATTTATCTTGCTTAGAAAAATAATTCATAAACTCTAGGCGTAGAAATCATGTATCTCTGAATTCATCTAATAAATTTCCACTTATATTTAAGATTATCTGAGACAAATGTCGTTTGTCAAAATGATGCCAGAGTGTTGAGGTAACCACTGGAGATGATGAGATGATAAGAAGACAAAGTTCAAACTAAAGCAATTCTTGTTTTTAACTGAGACTAGATTTCAGATTCAGTTAAATCAGGAAGCTTCTTACCGGTTAAATGGCCTTTAAATAAACCCCCTTTAGACTGAATTTTACAAAACAGCGAAACTGATAGGAAAAGAACATATCGTCAAAGTTATGGCCAACATTTAGCTTATAAATTCATTAGGAAACGCATATTTCCCGGTTATAATTTAGAAACAGATCAAATATGTTCTAGCTTCGCCAATTCGTGGAAGAGGTTATCATCACTTCTATAACTTGCGAAAAATCTACAAACTGCTTCCAGTTGCTGCTTTCTGGTGTACATAACTCAAACTTTACGCTAGGCCAGAAAAATTAGCGACTGAATTAATCTTATCAAAAGCTTATTTGGTCAGTAAATAGAAAATATTAGTCAGTAATCTGAAGGATTTTATCTCTTAAGTTCACTTAATATCATTAAATATGGAGGTAAATAAACCTGAAAAAGAAATTTCAGCTGATTGAATGTTTAACCATTTATTGGTTTTCTTATTCTATTCATTTCTAACTACCTGAAGATCTTCCATAGCCATTGCAATAGATATCATGAAAATGGTAGAGAGTAGAGCATAAAAAGAGAAAGATGTTTACAGACAAATAGAAAAGAGGGATTTATTTCATCACATTAATTAGATTAGAAATTTTTCTAGACACGCACGATCTTTCAAAGCAACAAAA